AGTAACTTTATTTCAAATGTACTGCATATTGTTCAGACTGTTCCTGCATGTTTTTCATTTACAATTATTATTTTGCCCCTAAAAGCATTTTTGACAGAACACAGTGATCCATCATCATCAGTTTCCCGCTCTCACACAACCAGTCTGCCCAGACCTAATGGGAAAACACACACTTTCAGAGAAACACACTAAAATCATGACATCCACATAAACCAAGCTAATATTACAACTAAATACATTTTGGATCACAATATTCAAATTCAAATTCAAAAATACTTTATCAATCCCAGACGGAAATTAAGAATTGTCTTAACTCATCATCCTGGTTTCATCCAGGAGTTGTTAGATGCTAATAGCTGTGGGCAGGAAGGATCTCCTGCAGTGAATCTGAAGAATCTGCCACAGATATTGATCTGTCCACTTGGATCCAGCTTGCCGTCAGATCTAGCGGGCCTTTCCGTCCTCCTGGGCAGCAGGACTGTCCAAATGCCGGGCAGAATTCCTCCCTGAGTGATGGTCACTCCTCTCAGCAGTCTGCAGAGCTCCTCGTCACCACGGACAGACAGCTGAAGGTGCAGGGGGATGATCCCAGTCCTCCCGTTGTCACGGGCCGAGTTTCTCACCAGCTCCAGGATCTCGGCGGTCAGGTAATCGATCACTGCCACCAGGTTGACGGGAATTCATCCAGGGCACCTCCTTTTCCTCATTTGGGATTTAGGGCTGTAGTTGAGGTATTGTAGATTTTGAGATGTTAATCAGCTGTTCCTGGTTGTTAAAAAAAACACCTTGTTGCCATGGTTATGCATCATAACAAATGCCCCAAATTAAAAAGGTTTCAGTAAAACTCCTTCCAGCTGCACAGCATCTGATACCAGAGGAAATAATCATCCAAAAAAAGTGATTTACATCCAGAAAAAAGAGGAATTAAAATTTTCATGCAGCCACCCGTGCAGCGCAATTCTAGAATTCTAGAATCCGATTTGAAATGTTAACAAGAAAGATGTCAGATTTCTTTAAGAAAATGGACTTAAAACATTAAGACACGGTTAATTTTAAAACACAGTTAAAGCAAATTAAAATACTGTTAGTTCTCTCTTCTCTTCCTCCTCTTTGAGCAGACCCATGTGTTTAATATCATCTGAATATGACACAGTGACCCGTAAGAGTAGGACAGACTAGAATTAAAGGTTGTCTGATGCTGAATTATGAACAGCTGATATAAAAACAGACTGAAACTGGAAAAATACAGTTAACAGGTAGAAGGGCCACAGCTTGTGTGGGTTTAGGTAGAATGCCAACAACATTAGTGACACATTTGTAAGTGTCCATTATCGTGTCCATTAACAATGAACTTGTCTTCTTTAGACAGAGTTGTTCAGCTTCACTCTCAGGTATTTAAGCCTCTTTGCAAAAGCACACTACTGTAGAATCAGACGACTTACAATCTGAATTAAGCTGAATTTCAGGTAAGAAGCATCTTTGCAAATTTACCAGATAAGAGATAAAGCAACTTGCAACAAATTCCATTCAATTCAACAGTTTATAAAACATGTTGTGGTGCTGATGAAACAGATACATTTATTGCTAAACGAGCAGGTCCCTCTTGTGAATGAGTCCTCGTGGCTCAATGAGACTAGCCTGTATTAATAAAGGTTGAATAAAAAAATCTCTCTTTAGAGGAATCCTGTAAACATGCTTTAAACTGACTCTTCTAATTCAAGGAAGCCATAACTTTATTTTAACTATTCTTTCTAGAAGATTGTACTTTAAGGTCCATATTTCGTTTTGTTTTTCTGCTACAGTACTACATGTTTTTCTTCATCAGTGTTGACATGCACAGAGGAGACGATGGATGAAATAGAAGAAGCATGATGACACCATGAACTCAAACCACAATGCAGTGGTTATTATGGGGGAATGACTTCTATCATTAAGCACCAAAGTTCTGCTGCTGAAATTTGAACCGTATCACAAGTAATCAGTTCACTCTGAACTTTTCTTGTGAGAAATCATGTCATTGTTGACTGCAGCTCCATCAGTTATAGTAAATACATTAAATTATATTATATTACATATAGTTATACAGCTGAAAACAAGTTTCTGTATAAATGGGTTTCACACCACAACTTAGCCAGGAAAGTTAATACATAGAAGTCTGAACTGGTTTAGTTCTGCTCCCCAACAGAGGACTAAGTTGTGAAAGACAATGAGCTGTAGACCTCAGCAACAAACCTCAGAGGGTTTGCTTTAATATGAAGAAGTTCCTCCTGGATGTAACACTTGACAATTGTCTACCTGTTATCTTGACTATGTAAGAAATCAGGTCCAGGTGGTTTTGCCTCAGTGTTAGAAAAATGCTGTTATGAGATTAAGTGCCTTTTCAAGAAGTAAAACGAGAACAAAAAATGGGTTCGGGATTGGGGGCCCGTTGCTACGGGTTGTTTGGTCCCGATACAAGAGATGCAAGAGTTTGGTTCGGTTTGCCGGTAGTAAGTTGGACCCCATCAGGGTGGGAGATGGACTCCGCCAGGGCTGCCCGTTGTCACCGATTCTGTTCATAACTTTTATGAACATAATTTCTCTGTGCAGCCAGGAGGCAGAGGGTTTCCGGTTCGGTGGCCTCAGGATTCCATCTCTGCTCTTTGCAGATGATGTGGCCCTGTTGGGGTCATCGTGCCAGGATCTTCAGCTCTCCCTGGAGCAGTTCACAGCTGAGTGTGAAACAGCTGGGATGAGAATCAGCACCTCCAAATCTGAAACCATGGTCCTCAACCGGACAAAGGTGGACTGCTCTCTTCAGGTCGAGGGTGAGGTTCTGCCTCAAGTGGAGGAGTTCAAGTATCTCGGGGTTTTGTTCTCGAGTGGGGGAAGAATGGAGCATGAGATTGACAGACGGATTTGTGCAGCCTCTGCAGTATTGCGGACTCTGTGCCAATCCGTTGTGGTGAAGAGGGAGCTGAGCTGTAAGCCAAAGCGTTCCGTTTACTGGTCAGTCTACGTTCCTACCCTCACCCATGGCCACGAGCTTTGGGTAGTGACTGAAAGAATGAAATCGTGGATACAGGCGGCTGAAAAGAGTTTCCTCCACAGGGTACCTGGACACTCCCTTAGAGAGAGGGTGAGAAGTTCAGTTATCTGGGAGAGACAATGAGTAAAACTGCTGCTGCTCCACATCGAGAGGAGCCAGTTGAGATGGTTCGGGCATCTGGTAAGGATGCTCCCTGGGCTCCTCTCTAGGGAGGCGCTTTGGGCATGTCCGACTGGGAGGAGACCCTGGGGAAGAACCAGGACACGCTGGAGAGACTATGTCTCTTGGTTGGCCTGGGAACACCTTGGAGTCCTCCCAGAAGAGCTGGAAGAGGTGGCTGTGGAAAGAGATGTCTGGGCTTCCCTGCTCAAGCTGCTGCACCCACGACCCGACTTCTGAACAGGCAGAAGATGATGGATGGAAACAAAAATTTTCTAAATGACTTAGGATCATAACAAATAGTAAAGAACTGGTGGGACAAAAGAAAAATAAAGTGCAAAGTTAGAATAAAGAACCAAAAAATGAACTAAAACAGCTCCTGCTTCAATCTGAGTCTCACTGGTTGAAGCTCTAGTTTCCTCGGTCTGTGACTCAAAGTATTCCTAAGAAAGATACTTCTCCTCACACACTGACTTTAAATGAAAGTATCTGATCAATAAATGTGATTATGACAGGAATAATAACCAAATCAAAAGCATCTTACAATGGATTGCAATTCTCCTCTAAACATGTATCAGAGATAAAGAAAAACTTTTACTTGTCTAAGAAAAAAATTGTGACATACTTTAAAGTTGTGAAATTGCTTTGACAAACATATTTAATTATTTAGCCTCAGGTTGTTGATGCTCTCCTGAAAAGTTTAGTTTTCTCTTAACTTTAAAACTGAATAGGAAAAAAAACCCCATATGCATATGCAGCTATTTTAATAAGCTTATTATACATGCAGCAGTTTCTAATAAATCAAAAATGCACACACGAGCTATAGAATATCTTAAAAAAGGATTTATAGGAGTTAGGTAAAAAAAAATAAAAAATCTACCTGACAATGCAGAAGCACATGTTTTGTCTATTAGGAATATTAACTCCCCAAACACAAGATTTATGAGGATATTTTGATTAATTTATACCTAAAGATCACCATATTTGTTTGACAACAAGTCCCCTAAGAGAAAAAACTGAAAAACAAAGACGGTATCAATCAAAAGATCCTTAAAGCTCAGCTTCTTGCTATGAATAATTAGGACTTACAGAAACACAGTGGCCTTCACAGAACACCTCTGATCAAGTTGCTCTCAAGATTTCCATAATTTGTTTTTTGACAAATAGTCAAATTGACAATTTATCGGTTTGACAAGGGTTTTTATACTTTAAGCATTAAAAATAACAATTTAATAAAGTCTGAGGCAGAATATCTCATGAATACATAACCTCAAATATCTTAGAGATGAATCACTTAAAGAAATAAATAAAATCTGCTGTCTGCTCATCCTGTCACTTTTTCCCCAGTTATACATCGACTATAGAACTGATCTGTGGAGCACGGTTCTAAAATGTTTTCAGCCAAAATGATTTATGTAAAAAAAGTGAATGCATCTTTTCAAAACATAATTTTCCCCAAGTTAAAATGTCAATGGTTTCTGAAATGTCAAGTTTCCAGTTCAAATATCTGTAAAAAAAGGTAGTGAACTGAATAAACGGAGGGCTCAAATATTGAGATAAAGACCTTATTTCAAGACATCCCTTAGGAAATTTGGCTTTGGGTTTTTATTTATTTATACTATTTTCTGAAGGAAAGGAAGCATTCAACAGCTACAGGCCTAAAATATGTCCCTTTATTGGCATTTTGTTTAGAAAATTGTTGGGTCAAGCCTCCAAATTCCCAATAAAATAGAGCTAGTGTAGCCATTATTTTATATAATATCCTTTTAAAAGTAAAGCCCTGGCTGGTGGCTCATGCAGAATCAGAACTTACTGGGATTGGGGGGGAACAGGGTGCAGCTCTTGCAATGGATGATCTCCTTTATAACCGGTAAGTCCTGGGACACGGGTGCAGGCACCAAACTGAGGCCGGGTATCATGGGGTTCATGGGCGTAATTCCAGCCATCATGCCAAGGCTAGGGTCAAAATCTGGAGGGTGGAGGGAAATACAAATATAATCAAACCGTAATTATTTTCTTGGATACAAGTAACACAGGGAAGGCATCACCTTAAACAAAAGCTCGTTTAAAAACAGAAGTCTGGCCAAGATATCACATCAGCCCAAACAAAATCTCCTTCGTTGCACTTTACATAGTGCGCTTATTCCCTCTGTGATTCTTCAGTCAACATCAGTGACACCCCAGCAGCATACACACACACAGCCACTCATAAATAAACCACATCTTAAACAACATGCATTTTTAAAGACGTTTTTACTCAGTCACTATTTCTCTGTCACCCCAGCTGTTTGAATGATGAACTTACAGATAATGTAGTTGGGTTTAAAACCTGCAGAGCAGATAAGATTTATTTGCTGTATTGATTTACACAGCGGGCGGTGAAAACACGCACACAAACGTTTAAAAGCAACGCGAGCATCTACGGCCACCAAACACACACTTACGTGCACTTGAGTCCCTGTGAGGAACTTTCTGAAATGGAAATGACTCTACGAGGCACCTGGAGCCCTAAGAACACCTGCAGAGGATTTAGAGTTGATAATTCCACTGCAGCGCGTTTAAAGCTGAGGCATCTGTGTGCAAGCATGCAGGAGCATGGCGCACTAAAACAAATCCTTCACTAGAGATCATACGTACACTGCATGTGTGGAAAATTGTGACAGAATCCATCTGACGCACGAGTGGAAAAAAGTACTTTGCATAATTATTTGCTGACTGTGAGACAGCTGATGGAATTTAAATTATGAAGTGTGGGGAAAAAAAAACTGTCTTTAAACCTTTTCTTTAGCTTTTATGTACATTTTGCTCCTGCTGAGTTTTGATTTAGATAATATCTAGAAGCAAAACTAAATCTACCGTATTTTTCGCAACATAAGTCGCAGTTTTGTGCATAATTTGCATGCCCTGTGACTTATACACCGACAACATATTTATGGATTTTCCCACTTTATTAGACATATTTGGACTGATGCAACTTATAGGGCGGTGTGACGTTTACGGCGAAAAATACGGTAATCCATCAGTTTAAAGCAAGTGAGAATCTTCTGCATCATTCTGAGTGACCGTCTACAATTGTACGCAAGTTATCCTTTGATTTAAGGCTGATGAATTTTTTTCTGTTTACCTCACTAATTATTGTCTTTTTCTTTAAACAATAATTTATTTTATGTCATAATTGACATTTTGTTACTTAAACATGGTTCATATCAGGATCTGTGTGGCAGTTATATAAAAATAAAACTCACTTTTTCTTTAAAAATACTACAAGATGATTGTTAAAACACCATAAATGAGACGTTTCCTCCTCACTGTTGAACGTAAGCTCGTCTTTGAGGATTGCTTTCTTAAAGTATTACTTACATTTATAATTGAAAAGGCTTCCAGACAACCTTTAGCTTAGATGAATCTAATGTTTTAAAATTAGTGTTGAACAAAATAACTGAGGCCTTACAGTATTGAAACTTGCCCACTGTCCAAACAGATCTTTTCTTATTTCTGCTCCCAATAGATGAAGTACTTTGGATGAAAGACGAAATGTTTCAACACAAAGAAACCGTCCAAAGGACCTGACTTAACTTTGTTGGATATTTTACTTGGATTATTGAGCAGGAACTTTGATGTGTGCTCCTAATACTTTAAGAAGAGTCTGCTGGGTGTGATGGACTGGAAGCTCTCGTTTTATGCTGGATTCAAAAAATTAAAGAAAGAGCAAACGCTTCTACTTCTAATAACTTTTACTTTATGTTCTTGTCTGAGTAATTTGTTTATTAATAATTTTATTTTATTTTACTTTATGCTCCATCGCTTGCTTATTGGAAATACAGTAGTTTCTCATTTTTCGTGAGGGTTTCCGTTCTCAGTCCCCCCGTGATAAGTGGAAAAACCATGAAGTAGGAATAGTAGTATATATATATATATATATATATATATATATATATATATATATATCAGTGTTTCCCCTACCATTATACAAGTGGGATGCCCTGCCCCATCTACCGAACCGCGCGCACCCCCACCAACCCACCTGTCGGCACTGATGTAACGCTAAGCTAGCAGCTCGCAATACAGGTGTGCTACCTAAAGCTAAAGGCAGCCTCTTCCCTCATGCTGAACCCTTACGCTGAAATGACCCCCCCACACTCAAAAACTGTCTGTACAAACAGCGCAAGGCTCAGATGTCTCTGTCTCTCACCGCCCCTCCCCCGCTCTAAAACTGTCAATTGTAAACCCTTCCCACACTCTTGCTATAGTCCAAACAACGTTTCTAAACTCTAAACATTCTACAAGAGCACAGCATGTCATGCTCTCCATGCTCTCTGCCACCGGCTGCACTCTGCCAGCACTCTGAGCCACGCCCACTTCTCTGCTGCAGGGCAGAGATCATGACATGCTGCAGGAGGGAGCTTATCCCTGCACATGTGGGCTGCACACAGGTGCAGCAGGTGCTAAATAATTTTAAATAATTGATTTTAAAAAATGATGCCGATCGTGTGGCTCATGTATCAGTCAGACAATTGTGTGTCATGTCCAATCTTATTTTGAAAAACACAAAAGAGCGAGTCCGCAAAAGTTGAAGCATGAAGTAGCGAGGGACTACTGTATGACATTTTTGCTGAAGAACCCCCCCCCAAAAAAAAAAAAAATCTGTTTTGCCTCTCCAAGTTAAGGGCTCTGTCAGTGAAGGTCTTGTTTAACAGCTTAAGAGCATATTTTTTTCTTGCCAGGAAATTCAGCTCAGTATGCATCCTTCATCCTCCAATCTGCATCCTTTGCTTAGTTCTGTGCCCAGAAGAAGCCACAAGCTGCTCTGAATAACAAATTCAGTCCAACAGTCCTATGAGGACAAGTGAATAAAAGGTATTTTAACCTAAGAGTGCATCACATCTCCAGTGCATCTTAATATTTCCCCACTTGACACCAAAGAGCAACCCTTAAAAGGCATTGTTTAAAAGGAAAATTACATATTTATATATTATTTTCTGAATAATACTATAATATATATATATATATTTTATAATATAATATATAAGATAATATTTCAAAAATAATTAAGCAAATTGTGACCATTTTAAAATCACCAAAATGTAGATTAATTTTGAATGTCAATGTTTTTATCATTTTACTTTGATGTTTGTACTCCTGCACTTTATATTCAGTGTACTAATACCTTCCAATAAAAACAGCAGCAAATTGTTAAGTGGGCTCTTATTACTTTATTTTTAATGGCACTCAAGCCAGCAAAGAAACCCATTTAGTTGCTGTAATATACATATGGCCCGATGAATATAGAACCGTTTTATGAAAAGCAATTTTCTTTAGGCACACTGCCGCAGATAAAATTGATGACCCAAATGACAATGAGTGAGTGAAAATAACAAAAGATTATCAATACTAAGGACACAGAATAGGTGCCTGGAGCATGACAGGATATAATAAATATGTTTGACTGATAAAAACTGGCTGAAGTACAAAATGGAGAGGAGAGAGATTAGAGAGGCCAGATATAAGAAGTACAAAAAATATGAGCATATCAAGTAAGATTAAAAGAAAATGAATGAAAACTATATATCTACTAACGACCTTACCATCTATCTCTAACAAGGTGTCGGAGTGAGAAACGGGATAAGTAGCACCCTTGTTGCTAAGCAATTGATGATTTCTCCTTGATGTAAAGTGAAGGAAAGATGGAGAGCAGGGGAGAAGATAAGAAATGGTGGATGGAGAAAAGCTTAAAGTTTAGCCTGAATGCAAAAAAAAAAAAAAAAAAAAAAAGCTTTGTGTGGAGCAGAAAACACTAAACCATATGAAAAGCAAATTTTGTAGTGTGAGACTCAAGGAAATATTGTACATTTATCTACAAAGGAACCACTTTATTGTCTGACAAACCAAAGCTCCTCTGTTGCCATGGCATAATAAAGATGTATGCTTCTGAGACCGTATGTTGATGCAAAAGCAAAGTAGATTTCAGAGCACATGGAGAAAACTATCTGGTGCTATTTCACAGTAGTGCTGCTCATTTCCCCAATAAAAAAAAAAAAAAAAAAAAAAAAAAACTGGACGTGTGAGAATGTGCGCTTGCCTCTATTTATCCTCGGCCATTAAAAGCTTGAGACCTGAAGCAAAAATGTAGCAGAGCTGTGTGTAATAAAGGAGGTTATTTACTTCTTCCTAAGGATTTCCAGCTCCACCAGAGTTCTCTCATCTCCATTTTCAACAAAATAGCTTGAGGACACGTTTCATCACTGACAATCTATTATTTTTCTCCCTTTCACCGCAACTCATTATAACAAGAGCTGTAAGTGGACACAGATGAACGTGCAGTTTTCTGCACTGAACTACATTTACCATTCGGGTGTGCTGCTGTGATCCAGATTTGAAATTTGAAATGCTTCAGTATTCAGAGTGCTGCTTAACTTTGATTTCATGCAGCTGTTTTCACTTTTTCTGCTCCCAGTTTTGCTTTTGCTGCTGATGCCAGCCATTAATATCAGCCAGGCCAGGGAAAAACATAATAGCACGACAAGGGTTGTAGTGAAATGCTGATTACTGAAACAATAAACAAAAATCCTTAAGTCCAGATGTATTACATTCTATTCATCGATTTATTTTTTAGCCCTCAGACTTTCTTCAAGAACAGTGATTTCAGATGACTACATGTTGGAGAACTTTGCCACATTTTAAAGTGCTAATATGACCTGATGTCACCAAATCAGTTAAAGCTGCAACATTATGAAGATGATCAGAGGGGAAAACATTGATTACCTTGTTTAGTTTTAGTTACAATTTTTGCTTCTTTGGGTAAAACTTTTAAACAGAGCTGATATCATTTTGCAAGTGTTCAGAAACCAACTAATCTTCCATTCATCCATTATCTTTAGCTGCTTCTTCCTTTTCGGGTCACTGGTGTCCGTATCCTGTGCGAGAGGTTGGGAACACCCTGGACAGGTCTCCAGTCTATTGCAGGAACAT